TCTTTCCCTGATCTACTCTGAAGACAGAGCTCATTAAATTTGTTGCCTTGCATCATTTCCAGTTCCAGGAGTGGTTAGAGCATCAGATATGACGTAGACTATGTCTGAGAGCAGCTGTAGGCAAGTTAGTACCTGCACTGCTAGACTTGAACTAACCGAAGAAACCTCCCATGGGAAAGAACACGGAGTCTATCCGCTAGCCATCAGATGAGTCAGCAGTAGGACTGCTTTTTTTTTCCCCCTTTTTTTTTTTTTTTTTTTAAGTTATTTCAAAAGACGCAAATCCGTTGAAATTTACATAGGGGTTTTCTCCTCACATCCCATCACCAGGACAAGCAGTTCTGTCTCAGCCTTTATACGGTTTTTAATTAGGTGAGACCTGGCTGTTTAACAGAAATAATAATGACAAATAGAGTAGTAACGTGCAGAGTGATGGAGGTGGGCATGCTGAGAGGCTTTAGCCAGAGGCTTTACTGGGGCACAGCAGCTTACAGGATACAAACTCTGGCTCTGTAAACATGATGAGGAAAAGGAGGGAGGCGCTGGGGCCCTTGCTTACAAGTGAGCTCATCAGTGACCTCAGCAATGGGAACTCAAAGGGTCCTGCCACCACCAGAGTATGAGGGCAGGCAGAAAAGAGATGTCTTAATGCAGAAGTCTTATCGTGCTAACTATACTGTCAGGATAGGCTGAGGTTGCAAGCAGGTCATTCACCTGGTTTCCCTTTTAGCCAACTTTTCTGCTGCCTTTTCCACCCCTTTAAGCACTTTTCATTACATTGCATCCCAGGATGACAGACTGTGTAGCTTTTTCACAGAGTCAGGGTAATTCTCGGAGGTCTTTTCAAGTTTGGGCATCTTAACAGATCCACATCAGAAATGCAAACATAGCAGACAAGGAAAATTGCTACTTGAGCTAATGGGAGATTCTAAAAATAAACAGGGCTTTACTACTTGGGTTGTTCTTGGAGCCCCAGTCAGGGCTTTCAATTAAATGAGATTTATAACAGCATAATTAAGACCTGGAAAGCACCCTAAAGATACAAACTACTATGCTGCATAAGTGGTATGACTATTACAACCTCTGGGAATGTTTGGGAGTGACATTACTACTGAACTGTATTTAATTTAGTATCTGACATAGTATAGATTCTGGAAGAGGGAGGAAAAGCATCTAATGTATTTTTAGAAAGTGTTCATATGCCAACAGCTGTTTTCTCTGAAGAGTCAGTGCATGTTAACATGTACCTGTGCTGGTAGGATCGGCTGGTTACAGGAAGCGCATTTTGGTGCAAAAACCCTAGGGTGCAAGAAGAAAGTGTTCAAATCACATTTAAAGCTTCTTCAAAAAGTAGAACCAAGAGAGCTATTTTAACCATGCCTTATTTTTAGTAAAATGTAGATTCACAGCATTTGAAACACCTCTAAATGTTTGATGATATTCAGGGAAAAGGAGATTTCGAAGAGGCTGATCTCCCCAGCTTTATTGCTTAGGGTTTCCTGACCTCTAGGCATAGTGAATACAGCCCTCTTCCCACGTATGCCCTTTCTCTTACCTTCCTTTACTCATAAAGTCATTCAAGTTTTTTTCAGAGACTCGCTGCTTTGACTGCAAAGCAGCTCCTGACTTGGGGACTGTCATCATCTGACATCAGGAAGACATAACCATGCTAAATAGGAGAGGGGCTGATCATGGCTACGATCTACTTAAACCAAATACATCAACTGGTTGTCTTATCCACAGCTGCATTTTATGACAATCACTGGGCCAACATTCACTCTATCCTTGTAACACAGTCAACTTGGTACCAATAGGGTTGAGTTCAGAGTGATTTACTCTTGCTCCATAAGCTGAGTTATTGGTTGACTGGAGCTAAGAGCATTCACGTTGCCTTTGAGCGGGAGCAGAAAGGAGTCCAAAAGCAATCACGTAAACCACAAAACTTTTTGTCAGGTGTGGCTAAAATCATTCTAACACTAGCTGCTAATTACATATCTACTGTCTAGTCTAGGTTAACCTAACTTACATTCGCCAGAGTGTAACAGGTTCTTCCTACCAGAACCTCGACTCTTAGAAACAGCCAGCAGAACCTACCATCGCTTGCAGCATTAGCCTGATCTAATTAGTATGGAAACTCCTGAAAGTAGAAAAACAGCCACGAGAGAAGTACATCCTCTAACACAACTTGATTTTCAACCTTACCTGGCCACTGTATGCCACACTGGGCCCATGAAGTGACCTTTAATATAACTTTAAAATACTTTACAAATGCAACATGTGAGAGCAGCGCTTGAGGGACATCTGAGCAAACAGGAATGACCCTTTTTATCTACTACAAGGCTTATAACTATACCAATAATTTAACTACTGTAATATTTCCAAGCATGCAATGGATTTGTGTACTTACGTATGGTAGTCTTTGACACAGTAAATATTGTTCTCCACATCTACAGTGAAGGGGACTCCATCCAGACACTCGTTACACACCACGCAGCGGAAGCAGCCAGGATGGTATGACTTTCCAAGGGCCTGTAAGATCTTAAGAGGCAAACAGCAAAATAAGTGGATGCATGATTACATGAGATCCCCCCTATATACTGCTGTGTCTGATTCTTAATAATGACAGTGAGAAAAGCACTTCAGGATGAAATTACCACTCTGCAGATATGTCAGCAAGGGGCCTTTTAAAACAATGAACTTGCTTATTTCAGTGGGTTTCAGTAGGCTCCCAATAAAGAGAGAGGACTGTGAAAATCAGGCTAACGCCTATCAGTCTTAGCTCTGCAGGGCCAATACTGCCTACAGAAATTAGAATCGGCTTCAGAGACCACTTCTTGGAAAATCTCTTGCAGCCAAATACAAGTTACTGGGATACAGAGTTAATTCACAAAACTTAACAGGCTGTGACAGACAGAATCCAAACCAGTCATTACTCAAACTTAAAAAGTAAAATAACAAAACAAGCAAATAAATAGGTGTCCCTTTATTAATTAAGGATCCTAATCCACCACAGTTACTGACTGGTTATCACTCAGTCATAGGGGCCCATCGGTTTCTGTTAAAATCCATCTGTATCCATGTGTTTGGATACAGATCCATCCACCTGCCCAGTCTTTTCCCATTCTGACCTTCCCTATTGCATTTTAAAGGTTTCAAGGAAAAGGCCTGATGCAGTCTCAGCTACACTACTACAGAACAGATCCCCTCCCTCCTGCTGCCCTTGTATGTAACGCCCAGTGTGGCACTGGGACATCAAGGAGCATGCACCAAGCCCATGAACAAGCCTCTGGGAAGAGTGAGACATGGTGTCATCTTCAGGCAGCTCTCAACAGGTTACAGCACCAATTGCATACATTTCAGGTGTAAGAAATACCTTTGGAAAGTAATTTCAAAAAGTAGCTGCTAGCAGCAGTGCTCAGTTTGGAGCTGCTAATAAGCTGGAGATGAAAAATCTCCACAGGCCAAGCTGTCATGGCCCTGTAGATGATTCTATGAATAAAGATCATCAAATCGACAGGAAATAAGAAGTGGCGCATAGGAAAAATGCACAAAGTCAATTTAATTTAACCTTTTTTTTGCCTCTAATGAAGCCCTATAGCTCTCCGTTCAGTGAGTGGCATCAGACTCCATTTGGTTTGCAAGCCTGTTCCTAGCCAGAAACAACTCATCTCTGTGTGTGTTGCTATCTAGGCAGCTACGTAACACACGCTGTTAGCCTGGCGTAGTTGTGCAGCCACCCCTTTGCACAGAGCAACTCCTAATTCAGCTGCACTTTCAGCCTTGAACAGTTTCAGTTGTGCCCAGGCCTGTGGGGATGCAGCTCTCTGCTCCTTAGCTGTACATGGGCACCACTACTGTGCAGGCATGTTTGTTGTATGTGCGCTCCCAGGGAGGAACACGAAGGAATTAGCCAAATAAGACTGCTTAATTCCTGGAGCTCCCAGAGCTGTTTCCTTTTGTCAGAGCACACTTGCTGATGGGAGAAAGGCAGACAAGCACCTGCCAAGCTTCCAGCTACTGAGCTTCACCAATGAGATATTATGGACTCTTGCCTGGGATTCTGCAATTAAGGGCCAGCTCAAAGCATGCAAGTCAGGATACCCCTCCCCCTCCCAGCATGACACAACTCTAGAAATTTGCTCTTGGGCTAAAACGAACAATATCCTTGTCCAACCAGTGGTGCCAGGATATGAGCCAGAATCCTCATTAGTGAAGTCCCCGTTCCAGCTCCTACTGAACCTCCGTGTTTGCAACGCAATAGCTACTTCTATTAGGCATACTGAGGTTCATACACATTTTAAAGCAAGAGGAAAATAGCTATGCTACGTGATCTGCACTTCTTCAATGTGCAAGCCACTTCATTTTGTTTGGGAACTTCTGCTTAGGAAGAACAGACTAAATTCTTCCTACTTTCACCCACTGAAATTATGCTAGTAGTATCTGGCCCAACCCATAGCCCTTTGATTTTTTTTATTATAAAAGTAACTCTGGCTAGGGAGTTAGGGACTACTGGCTCCCTACAAATCCCAGTGGCAAGAATGCATTTTAACTGATGTGGAGCAAGTGGCAGAAGGTAAATAAAGCAAGTCACAGAGCAGGCAACAAATCTCAGGACTATTGATAATGTCCCTCTCCTCTCTAGCCCAGATTCCATCCACTTGACAGAGCTCTTGCTATTCTACTGTCTCACAGAGCACAGCCTCTGTTTTTCCTTTACCATGTTCTCATACAAAGCTGTGCTGTATTTTCCCCCTTTAGTATTAAAATTCTATTTATCTTTTTTTCTTAAACTGGCATGTGGCAGAACAACAGCCTCCCATGATCTCAGATAGAAAAGAAGCCCAACTTACTGTACCTAACAGTAATAGAGCATGAAGGTATTTTTGTTTATTTACTGCCTCAGTTTCAAAAATTACCTTGTCAGCAGTGAAGACACAACGATAGTGTGACTAGGGAAAAAGCACAATGACTCACAGCACACTACCCACAGTATGTGAAAAGCAAGCTACCCCACAGTTAGGAATTTAGGTCCCTTACCATTTCCATTATGAGGTGTCCACAAACAAAGCATTTATCCGCTGTTTGCTGAAAACCTGAATACTGTTCAAATAAAAGAAAAGAAAGGATTATTAGTAGCCACTCCTCTAGCTGCAGAAGTACCTTTTAAGTGAACACTGCGCTATTTTCCAGCCTGTGCTGTGTATGATAGCAAACTACAATAGGTTTGGGAGACAGTGACTCAGAAGCCTTCGCTCTGCTCTTGCAGCATGCTCAGATACCAGCTTGGCCTTCTGATCCACTGCAACATTTCCATTGAGATTTCTAATGTAACTATTATTTTAAGTTTGATTTTTATTTTTGAAGCCTATTTGGCGAGTTTGCATTTGGTGTGCTGGAACTAGCTTGAATTCACTTTTTTGGTTGTTGTTGTTGGGGAAGTAAATAACATAGGACCTACCTCCCGACTCCTACTCAAATCAGTGACCGATGCTTACTGACCTCAGATTTTGGACCTACATTTCACTCAGTGCTATATGCAGGCTAGAAAAATGAAGACAGGCCCAAGGAGAATTTAGCTGCCTCTTTGATACCAAGCATTTTATCCAGGGAAGAATCTAAAAGTCCGTTTGCAGGAGCTTGGGGTCCCTGCACAATGTGGGCAACAGTAAGGTACCTCAGAAAGATGATACAAACCCCAACCGTCAGCCCATGCTCCAGCCTGCCGTGGGAAACAGGAAGGCTGGGCAGGCCTGGTGGCAGAGCCCTCCCAGGTTCGGTGCCAGGGGCATGGCAGCAGGGAGATACTTTGCCCACTTGGGACCAAAGCTCTGTGTTCCCTGCCTGAGTGTTTCTGTTCAGATGCCAAAGTCTGTCTTTAGCCCTGTGTTTAGAGGTATACAAAAAATATCAAGGTTATCAGGCCAGACGACTGACCTACCAAACAACTACCCTACAGGCAAGAGGCATTTGCCTGAAGAACTCCAGCCATGTAATTTTGAAACTGGTATTTGCAGCGGCTGAACTTTACCCTCACCCACTGCAGTCCCATATAAGCAAAGTGCTGTGTGCACTCTTTCCTGCAGGAGGGAAGGGGTGCTCAGTTATTTGTATGGTATTGCACAGTGATGCTTATTTCAGCAATTAAGGCTGTAGCAAAGCTCACCTGAAATGTACTTTAGTTGCACAAGATAAAAGACAGGGAATGGGGAGGATGAGCATAAGCTGGACTCTTCTCCCAGAGCACCGGTTAATTGGCTCAGGCATCTAATGCATCCTCAGAGCCTCAGCCCAACAAAGCTTACAGCTTGCTCCATTCCCCCCTTGATTTAGTGGGGATTAACTGTCCCCTCACTTCAAAAGCCAGTGGTTCCCAGCCTAGAGCTGCCATATGTTTTCCTTTTTATTGGTATGAGGGGATTACATGTTATTTCAGATCAATAGGTTGGAGACAAAATTTTGTCGCTATGCAACAAAGTGATTATGAAGTAAAAGGTCTCGCAGACACTTTGACGGGCCCAGAAAGTCAGTAAATGATGGTATGGCAGCTGTCACAGCTCCAAATTTACTACGCACTAAGGAACACAGCTCATGCAATCTTAAGAAACTTTGAAATATCATCAAAAGAGACCAGGGTGTTGAGGAACAAATACAGAGGCAGGTAGTCCTAGCTGGCTATTTCTGCAAGATACTGTTTTTTTGCTTTTTTCTTTTTCTTACTGACGCAGAAAAAAGGCCTCACTGCTTGGGATGCTTCTTGGCTGCACTGTATCTGAGTAACTGTCTGGCTAGACTATTTCCTAAGGTTGCGAACTCGAGGGTTACTGGAAACAGGTGGGTAGGTCCTAGTGGCACAGACAGCACAGGATTAACAATAGCACAAACCCAGCTAATTCTAAAATCCTGCTGGAATGAATTTACTAGTACCATCTGGCTGTCATTTGATAAGAAATGCAAAGGAGCATTTTACCCAGCTATTGATTAAGAAGGAACATTATTCCCCAGGAACAGAATGGCATAGTGGTCAGATCAATGTCATTTACTGCTAACTAGATTGTTATAAATTACACTGTTTGTCAGAAAGAAAGGTTTTGCTGACACAAAATCACTCTTTATATGACTAACCCTATTAAATTAAAACCATGATTTGTTTTTAACAAGAGAATTATTTTTTCTCAAACACATCCAGAACTGGATTACCCAATTAAGAAGACTTTGCAAAATGGCAGTAAGTCTAATAGCAGTGATAAAATTTCCTGGACTCAGGGAGCTGTCCTTTACCACTACACTCTTCTCTTTTCTGATCACAGTATTGGTCCCAGACAAACTGGAGACCTGATTCAGTGCTATCAGGGTTTTGGATTCAGCTCTGCTTGTGCTTTAAATCTATTTGGACTGGAAAAGAGTAACAGCCTCTGATCCCAGCAGCATTGTTTTCTACATGATGGTAGTACTGTGGACACCGCTGTTTAAAGGTAAACAATAAATTATTTTCTCTACATTTTTGTAGCTCACCTGTCAACTTCTGCTTTGCAGTGTTTGTTCTTAACTTGGAGAGTTCAAACAGAGTTGTTGTGCTAAGTTTTCAATTTTAGAAGCAGAGCTTACAAACAAAGTCTTAAAATACTAATTAAAATTGGCAACCTCTGTCTTTGAAGCACTTGATTATTATTAACCTTCACAAATCTTGTGTGTGCAACGAGAGAGAAGTTGTGACTTGCACCAGACTGCAAACAAGGCAGGACGGCCTCTTTATTATCTCTCAGCACACCCAAGAGCTTCCCTGATGGTGAGTTCCCAGCATGGCTGGATGGAAGAAGTACTGGTCCCCCAGAGCTTGTGAACTAGGTAACTGCAAGAGAAGAGGAGGTTATGCTCTACAGACTTGTAGTCTCTTATTACTGACATAGTTGGAGGGGGAAAAAGAGCTTTTGCGCACATCAGCCCTCCCTCACAATCTGGAGATATGAAAAACAGATTGAGGTGAAACAGTGAAGTAATACAGGCTGATAGGCAAGACTGTAGTGGAGAAGCCAAATCACAGCTATGCTTCCTGTACACGTGGTATTTTATACATACAATTTCATTCGGGATATAAGCAGTACTGGGCTCAATTCTAGCCTTACTCTATAAGGATTTCATATGTGCCAGGTCTTTTTTCTTTTAAATATTTTGTTGGCAGACCAGTAAGATGATGTAAAAATGCAGACCAATCTCAAACTAGACAGAAACGTTCAGAAATCTACAGACAGTCTGTACCCAGGACAAATAAGCGTAATTTTGAACTTTCCCAAATATCCATTATAGATGCCCATTAAGCATATATAAAAACATTGAAAGAAGTTGTTATAAAAAGAACAGCTCTGAAATTCAAAGCTGAAAATGAAGTGTTACCCTTTACTTTCACTTCTGTGACTTAGAAATAAGATGCTAGTTACCAGGACGCAAAGAAAACAAGCGCATGTTGAAGAGCTGGTATATTATTCTTCCTGATTTCTTAGTTTGGTCCCAACTGTTTTCTCCCATATTTACCTTGTCCTTGACTTCTCTCCCAGGATAATAAAATCTCACTTTATGTGCATGAATCAAGACTTTGTAATCAAGCTCCCCAATGATACTTACATAAAGTAAAACTCTGGAAACTAAATAAGCCTTGAGAAATATATTAATTATGTTAGAATAGAAGAGTAAAAAAAAGTCAAAGACTTGGCTGGCTGAACTTTTCTTTTCTTTGCTGTCTACTATACTTTGGAGATTTTTTTTGCCCATTTGATAATCAATGATTCTGTCCAAGAGTCTTTGTTTCAATGTAAGAGGAAAACAAGTCCCCTTCTGTCCTGAATATTTAGGCCTGTTAGTGTCCTCCTGTGATAAACTTGGGGTTTATAACTCTTCTGTCTAATTTGCAATATATCCAAAAGAAATTAACAATGAATTTTGAGCATATAATGAACAATTATGCATGGAGGATAATCCCACCAAGTACTATGAGAAACAATTTCTCTTGTCTGCCCTCAGTCCTGTAAGCAATCTTGGTTGTCTACCCAGGGCCTTTTAAAGTTTGATGTTCTCATCGTGACTTTCAAAAGCAAAAACATTCAGAAAATAGCATGCCTGAAAAAGGCTTCAGGACCTTTCTACCTTAGGCAATGTCAGATCTTTGAAAAGACATGTCACTTCTTCTCCTTCGCATGCCTAACCGTGCCCAAGGAGAGGCTGATGCACTTCCCTGCTGTTATGCACTCAACAAAACAAAACCTTCCTCCTGGAAACAGACCCTGGAATCTCATTCAGGCCCATTTTCTTCTTTGATGAGGATGTTCAAAACCTGCTAAAGGTTTGTGCAAGCAGATCGAGTGGATTACATTTCAGTAGGTGTGGCAGTTGCTGCCCCGGTAATGGTATGAAGCTATAAAAATAACAATTCACTGTTACAGCACTGCAGTCACCAAATGTGATTGCTCAGCCTAGACTTGAGATTCCTCCTCTTTTATGCTTTAAGGGCTTTTGAGAGGGATGATCAGAGTTTTTGCCAAAATGCTTCAGGCATTTAATTCTGAAAACTAATTTCTGAATTGGGTGCTATGCTAATAATGTATTCCAACCCCAGGCTGCTTGTAATCCCTCACAGGCTCTCTTCTCCTTGGTTTCCCATTAGCAGAGCATCTGTCTTCTAGCTGCTTTATTGTTTGCTCTCTGCATGGGACCCTTAGTACATGGGATACAACAATGCAAGAAATTCATGGGATCACGTTAAGAGAGGCAGAGAATATCAAATTTGGTTTCATGCAGATGGGGTTTTGTTGTTGTTTTTTTACACACATTTAAATGCAGCGATTAAACTGAACTGAACAAAGTGGGGCCTTCTCAGGCTCAAAGATAGGGGAGCCTCATGGCAGGTGGCTGAGATTAAACTAAAGGAAAATAGTCCAGAACTTCACTCTTCATTTCGCTGAAACCCTTTCATATAACCTGTTGGTTCACCCTGTCTTGCTGCCAGTGAGGAAACACTACCGCAGCAGCTTATCTTCTTGCTTCTGCATTTCCACTTTGTTATGTTTGAAGGACATGGGTAGGGCAAGGAGGGACTTCGTGTTCTGCAC